ACTGTCAGTTCCTTTGATTTTCACCCACGGCTCTTGGGATTGCATGTACTGATTTCCATGTTTTGATATTCCTAAAACGTGTTTCAAACCATCGCGTAATTTCGCTTGCTCTAAAGCACTTACATAAGAGGACAATTCGCGCTGAGCCAAGGCTAGTAGTACTAAATCGTCCTCCTGAAGTTCTATTGAAGGTATTTTAGATTCAAAGTATCTCTCTGCGAATACTAGAGCCCTTTAATTAAAAGATAGTGATAATTACAAAAATGAAGATTCTTTATCAATTATAATAAAGGAATATGCACCTATTGACGAAGTTTCCAAAATTGTTTAATAATTCGCTATTATTTTTAGTCGCTAAATCTTCCCAATTGAAATTAGAATCTTGACTTTCCGGTCTAACGTAAGCTAGATAAAATCGCCAAACGTCAGCGGGTATACCCGTATCTCTAGCATCGGTTCCAAATACACCAATACCTCTCGATTTAGAAAACTTGGTATCCTCATAATTAAGATATTCTAAAAGTAAAAATTATTTGTTAATAATTAACTCTATGCAAAGCGAAGCATTTTATTCGTACCTGTTGCCATCAAATGTTTCATTAATGTGTAACCTTGGTTAGCTGCTAATAAACAAGCAGGAAACATTATCGCGTGGAATGGAACATTATCTTTTGCCATAAACTGATATAAATCAACTTGTACATCGCTGGGTTTCCACCATTGTTCGTATTCTTTTGTGTACCTCTTTGTAATACTGATATAACCGAAAGGTGCGTCGAACCAAACATAAAACACTTTATTTTCAAAACCTTTAACTGGAACGGGTATTCCCCACTTCAAGTCTCTCGTTATACACCGCGGTTTAAGCCCATCGCGTAACCACGGTTTTGCGACAACTCGTGCAACGTTCGACCATCCCTTTTCCACGGTTCCAGACCATTCCTTCAACTTGTCCTCTAACTATACAAAGTAATTTTAATACTAGTTTATTTTCAACTTTACGAGTTCATATCTTTTACCAAATAATATAATAGATATTATAACACCTGCCTTAGGTAAATCTAGGAAGAATTGTTGCGAAATTTTAACAACAGGCCTATTATTACACACTTTACATCGTGGAGAGATCAAATCTGTTGCGTTCACCAAGTGACCACATCCATCGCACTGATCACCACGGGCATCTTCGTATTTGCACCTTGGACACGTCCCTTCTACAAATCTATCTGCCAAGAACCTATCACAAGTCTCGCAGAGAAGCTGATCCACAGTTTCACTTAATATATATCCCTGTGACTTTATTTTGAGGAAGAACGATTGCACAATTCTGAAAATTAGTAAATTCATATAATACCGATTATTTTTAACAAGAAAAGTATTCTATAATTCATAGTTCAAGGTAATAAAACCTTAGAGAATTACATTATATAATGTAGCTAGTACGAGATCCATCTTACTCTGTTTGTTCAGGTGTAGTAGTTCGACCGAAATGGTCAAACCCTATGCTAAACCATCGATAAACATCGTTGTGTATATCGAAAAATTTGTCACAAATAGCTTGAGGTGTTGTCTTTTCCTCTAAAGCTTTAGCTTCTGTAGCAGTACCATATTCATCAGTGCCACTAAAAGTTTTGTTTCATTTTTATTACAATATTTGATATTCAATATGTGCTATTATTAGTATAACTTAAAAGTATTTACCTAATGAAAAGGGTATTGTAATTTCTTTGTCTACAATATCTGTAAAAGATATACGTATGTTAAAATATGCTCCGTAGTTGGTCAATATTTGTATTGTTAAACAAACCTGGCAAAAATGTCAGCAGAAAGAACACAACCAATAATATTTCCCAAATGAGGAACGTTGTTCACATAAGGCAATGCTGATGTTATTAAAATATTTTTCTCCCCCTTTTTTGGTAATCTAAAGATCGGTATAGATTTATTTCAAATACATTATTGATATTTCTTTCCTTATGTGAAATTATCTTATACTCTATCTCTTACACAGGATAAGACAGATTCTTCATGTCAGGATATGATTTAGAAGACCAATTGCTGGAAATATTTTGCATCTCTTCTTGACCAACGGCTTCCACTTCCTTTTCTTTAGTTGGACTAAGCTAGAGTTACACATTTTATATAATACACGATAACATCACGTGAAATCGAGAATCATTATGCTCTGCTTACATGAGCTGTGGATGGTTTGAGAGATTGAGAACTAAGAGTACTGTTAACAGGAAACCAAGATACAGCTTGAATACTAAGAATTGCTTTTGAACCTCTTTCAAATTCATATTCTTTAATGGAGTCCTTGATTATAGATACATAAAAAATTGTATTATTATAACATATAAATATGTAATATATACAAGTTGAGAGTCATACCTGTATAAGAGAGAGTGACTCAATATTTGATAACCACTCATTTATAGATGAATATTCTTTACATAATTCACTTCCTACTTCTGTAACTAGTATAGTAGACCAAATAGTCACCCAAATGCATGCATCTGCCAATGATAAACCGTTTTTATCCTAAAATAATATCAATTAAATCTCAGTAATACCTTAATCATTCAATTGACAGTACATTAAACAGAGTAATACTATCATCATAAATTACCTCAATTAAGTACTTTTTGTCTTTCAATGCATTATTCAGTTTTTTTAATAAGGACCATAAACATGACTTATGTATAGCTTTGCAAGTTCCTGTACTACCATAAAATACTATTGCTGGCTGAAAAATTTATTACAATTATAATTTTGTACAATTCTAATTTATAATAAACGTATTTCTATATACCTGTAACTGAGTTATTTCCCATTCCAACCATTTGTCATTATCAGTTTTTAAATCTTCAGGCGGAGGTGCTAGAAGCTGCATTGCTACATTTGTGCTAAATAGTACTAGTCCAGATGACAATTCAACAGAAGGTAATCGATCCAGAGAACTATCTGTACGTGAAACAAAAAAATTTATTTTGTATTGACTACAAAAATTCTCTATTGTAAGAGCTTGATAAAAGACACGTGTTTTCCTTGTTAAATACAGGATGTTCGAGAATACTTAATTACTATCATTACAGAAAATTAACTATGAAACCAACAAAATAGATTATATAATAGTATTAAATACATTGCCTTAAATCGAAATTTTGCGGCTTTATGAGTATGGTTTCAAAGATGAATAAGAATGAAGCACGAGGTACAAAACTTGCAAAATACATGGAAGTATAAATCATTCGATTTATGAACAAAATTTTCCAAAAAATATTAATTTAAAAAATACAAGCAATCTCAGTGACACAAGCATATGGTATTTCATCATGTGTACTACTAGGAAAGTAATTGTCAAATAGAAAGGTTAAGTTTCTTACCTTTTGGTTGTATTATCTTTACAGTAACAGATTTCCGAGCCATTTTAGCTGCAATAACTAGCTTTAGCACATTTGGATTGCCTTCATTCGTTGAAACATTCATTTTTACTAATAAGTTAATAAATATTCACAATAAATAGTTGAAAATATTTTCAGCACACAACCGATACATGTGAGCGACAAGTTAAATAAATGCAGTCCATCAGCAGCCCCAGCCATTGAGATAGTATACATAGAGTAGAGAAGCCAACCGCAAACGTGAGTCGCAAATAAGTAAATTTCTACTTCGTTTTCTTTCTAACAGCGTATCAATTCCACTTACAGGCGTGCCTATGGCATCTCTACTCTACCTATAATATCTCTATGGACTCTATGGCCCCAGCAGCCCATGCAGTCTGGAAACGGATACCATAAGAACTGTTCCACGTTCCACGTTCCACGTTCCACAGCACATTGTCAGTCTATTCAGGAACTACACTAATTATCTCTAAAGTTGAACGTACACATTTTCATTCATTGTGATTTTAAAAATGAAATTCGGATGGAAATTCGGAGAGTGCATGATAAATTCAGTTTATTCGAGTATGGCACTTTGAAATAGAAACAAACGTCTTTTCAATTTAATCAAGCATGATAATAAAGCGTTTGTAGACTTATGTTTATATAACATTTTGTTTTCATCTTTACTCATAGTAGAACATTGATACAGATACAGGTGTAGTTTGATCGTTTAATTCGGGGACACTCTGTATACTGGCTCTCAGTTCATTGGGAACTAGCGTCCTCTGAGTGAGTATCTTGCTCTGATTTGAACCATTTGAACTACACTTCAGGATTGTTTCATGTGATATGCCAGGTTTTGCGCCGTAACAAAGATGATTATTTCGTTATTTCTCGTTCTTATAAGTCGCATATCATTATCATACAGTGCAGAAAACATTGTTTTAATTTTTGCCGATGACTTAGATATATTTCTCGACGGCATGGTAAATATAATAGTAGAAAAAATGTATTTCCAATGAGAAGATGTACTTTGTTTTTTTAATTACTTAAATACTGTTCTTAGACGCCGATGGAAAATACGGTGAATCTAATTGGAAGCAATGGGTTAACATTTTCCAATTGTGTAAGCTAAAGTTTGAAATAATTTTAATGTTCATTATAATTACATGTAATGAGTGATAAATGTTTTTTTGCAAATTAGTTTGTCGCTTCCCCTATTTGTTGTCCAAATAGAGCTTCTATTTTGACTGGAAGATATCAGCATAATCATTTGGTAGTAAATAATTCAGTGAGCGGAGGCTGTAATAGTATTGAATGGCAGAAACTTCAAGAACCAAATACATTTGCAGCATATTTGAAAAGAGAAATGTCTTATACAACTTTTTATGCAGGAAAATATCTAAATCAGGTGCATATTTATAGAGTGTAAGAAAAATATGATAAACATTAAAACAATAAAATAAATTCAAATAAATGTTACAAAAGTACGGAGAAAGGAGAACTGGTGGGCCAGGTCATGTACCAATGGGATGGGATTGGTGGGCAGGTCTTGTTGGAAACTCAAAATATTACAATTATTCTTTATCTCTAAACGGAACTGAAATGAAATTTGAAGATTACCCAACTGATTATCTTACTGATGTAATTGTAAGTGTAATGGAATAGCATTTATGATTGTATAATGATCACATTTATTAAAAATTTTTTCAGAGCAAGTTAGCAACAGATTTTATTGTGACACGTAATACAAACAATGAACCATTTCTCATGGTTTTAGCACCACCAGCACCTCATGCACCTTTTACTCCAGCAATTCGACATATTGACAAATATTATGGAGTGAAAGCTAAAAGAACACCTAATTTTAATACTCAGACACAAATGGTATAATATATTTGATTGAAACAATTGCAGTACTATATTGTACCCACAGACATATGAGAATGAGAATAGACTTCAGACCAGCTGATTGAGAAAAAGAAAATCAATGGAAAAGTTTCTCTTTTTCTATCGGCATGTGAGAGAGGAAGAGAGGGAGAGACAAAAACTCCAAAGTTTCAAAGCATATTTTCTCTCTTTTACAGAGTCAAAAATAGATTGGATGCTCGGTATCTCTTATGTCTGTGATTGGTAACTATTACTATTCTAATCTATACTATTTAATAGGACAAACACTGGTTAGTACAAAGAGGGCCATCTCCGCTTCCTGACAATTTATTGCCTGAACTAGATGATATATATAGGAAAAGGTGGGAAACACTGTTAGCTGTTGATGAGCTTGTGGAAAATGTATATAAATCTTTAAAAGAGCAAGATCTTTTAAAAAATACTTACATTATATTTACTTCTGATAATGGATACCATATTGGTACAGAAGTTTGTCTTCAAATTTTTATTTTAAAGTAGTGAAAACAGAATTCTGTATGATTTTAAATATTATACTACAGGTCAGTTCAGTATGCCTATAGATAAACGTCAACCATATGAAACAGATATTAGAGTTCCTTTATTAATACGAGGTCCAGGAATTGCACCAGCAAAAATTTCTGCTCCTGTCAGTACTGTTGACTTATTTGATACAATTTTGAAAATTGCTGGCATACAACGTCCATCGGACGGTACTTCAATCTTGAAGAAAAAATTATCGAAAGATAGGACCCTTTTAATAGAATACAGGGGCGAAAGATCTACGGGTATCCCCTCAGATTGTCCTACTGATTATGACGCAAACGTTACAGTGTGTATCATAAGTAAACCATAAAAATGATTTATATAAATGCTTCTTTAAAATTTTCCGTTTATATTTTTATATTTTGTTTTTTTATAGTTATGTTCAAAAGACATGGCATGCAAATGCCAAGATGCTGCAAACAATACTTTCAGTTGCATACGACGACTATCTCCAGAGTTTAATAATATCTTCTGTATTTTCGAAGATAATAAGGTATTTTTAACAAATTATCAAGTATTGGATATTATTAATATAATTTCAATTGCTATTTATCGTTGTTTTCGATAGAATTATATCGAGGCCTATAACGTGACGACAGACCAGTTTCAATTAGAAAATATTGGATACAGTATGAAGCCTAATCACAGGCACAGATTCAGGAAAAGTCTTAAAAAAATGAGTGTTTGCGAAAATGAAGAGTGTGTTGTCACTAATATGGAAGCTATAGATATTTAACACTCAAGTAATTACGAATCGACTAAAATCTATTCCCCTTTTTTTTTAAATTAACAATATGGGTTTTGTGTTATTTTTTGTTAGTATAATATCATGTACATATCAGATGTGTAATGTAACCAACCACGATTGAAATAAATTTTCCGTTTTTTATATCATTGCTTCCTAAAATATTCATTGGACAAGGTGTTTATTTATCGACGAATTTGTGTTATTTTCACTATATTTATGAGGATGTGAGAACGCGGACCATTAAAAGTTAAAAACGCTGACGGCCGTCTTACTTGGAATTACTGAATTTATGGAAATTATGGGCGAAGAATACGCTGCGAATCTGGATATAAGAATAACTCGTCTTGCTTCTCGGGTACCTCGGGCAAACTGTTTTCTTAGCAAATATTTTTATTAAAGCCCCGCGGTTCGAATATCTGAATAGCAATCGGGTCATTCGGGGGTAGAGAAAAAGAAAACCGACCGAAGGCGGAACGTTGGAATACGTTCATGCTACATTCATCATTTTCATTTTAATCTATTAAAACGTTTTCAATCGTTTAAGGATTTATCAAATAATAAAAAAACTCGATATTTCATTATTTCGTTTGTTTCACATTTATCTTATAGAATATGAATTAATTTATGTTTTCTACTGTTAGTTAATAAATAAGCTTAGAATTTTTGCGTGTATACGGAACGAATAGGGTGAACTACAAAGTGTACTGATTCGCACTATTCAGTATCAAGGACCGTAAGAGGCATCCTTTCATCTTTCATAAAGGAACGTCGAAATGTTTGTATACTTCGCGTCGACCGCTCCATAGCTCCATGTTTAATCGCTTGTACAGATACGCTATTTGAAGGCAATACAGTATTTTTAGAACTACATATGTACAAATGAAAGTAAAGGAAACATATTTGCATTATTTTTATTATTATCTTACTTTACCAGAAACAAAACGATTTCTTTTTTTGCAAAAATATTTTGTAAATTATTATGCAAATTATTTCATTGCGTAACGCTGTTAAAATGAAAAATGAAGTTTCTGTTAAAATGATTAATATTAATATTACAAAGTACTCGAACAGAAGAATTGGTAAGTCGCTTTATGGCGCAGTACAGTATGAAAGGAGCGCACAGCTGAAAGTGCAGTGCATTGAAAAAGAATTTTGCGGGTGTTTCGCTAAACAGCATGAATCCCAGCTCGATCGAGCGGCTAGAGGATTAACAGACCTCGCTTCGAATTGTGAAGTCGTTACATCGTCAGTGAGACGTGTAAGTCGGCTTGCGAAAAGTCCTTTTTTTCCCTTTCTCCCTCGCTCTCTCTCTTCATTGATCGTCGAACCGAGTGATCGGTTCCTTCTGTATTAGGATCAATGGCTTTCGTTGGTTTCCGAGTTTTGGATACTAGCTTTCCTGCCTCCCGGGGATTTCGGTTCCGTTCAATTTTTAACGACTCGTACCGTGAAACGAGTCACAACGTTTGATCGGGTCTGTGAATTGCTCGTAAAATTTCGCTCAATTTTCTGCGTTGCACGTTATTGCGTTCCACGTGATTGTTAATTGAGAAGGTGTTAAACAAATTTTGTTCAAACCAACCGAGTTTGTTTATTACGCGCTAATTAGTAAATAGGATTACATACACATTTCAGTCTGTTCAATCGAATTGTTCATTTAATGGGAATCGAAAGTCGCACGATACTTACATTACGCCTCATTGTTATTCTTATAATCGTTTCATTCTCTCTTTACGGTGAATGTTAATGAACGAAACGTACACTTGTATCAGATACTTTACCGTATCGGAGAACAACCAACTTCGCTTCTCCGTTAAACTTTATTGCACCTGTCTGGAATCCACATTAATATTCACAAATCAAATTTTCCAAGCATTTTCAGAGGATATTGTGTCCGATTTCCCGATCCGATAAATCAGACTTGTTCGTCACTTTTAGCATTCGCATTAATAAAACATTAATCACGCGATTTTTACAAGCGCTTCTTGATTAATTGAAAAAGAAATTAATTAATAAAGGAGAAAGGTGAGTCAGTAGCCGTAATTGAAGACAATTTTAATAGTATTGAGTTTCGCAGACGATAATAATATGTAAAAGCACGGGGCTCGCATTACCGCTTATCCGAACAACAGTAATCAAATCAAACACGAAGCTATTAACTAGGTCAACATTTCGGGTTTTGGGTACTTAGCCCCGACTACTTGCTACATATATACCTATATAGCTGCCCGCCAGACTAGCTGCACTTTGAGTGTGTGTGCGCGCGTGTTCATACATGTGTTTGCACGTATGTATTTATAATACATGCATACATACATACATACATACATACATACATACATACATACATACATACATACATACATACATACACAAGGCAGAAATTCCACGGTGAACAAGAGGAAAGCAGCCGTGTCGAACGGTCTTAAATAAATATCTAATGTGCAGGGGTCGTTTGGACCCCCGTTTGTCCCCCTAATATTATTTTAGGCACGGCCTTCGGGTGAAGTTTTGTAACTCGAGAAACGAGCACCACTCGTGCACGGAATGGACAAGATACTAATAGGTGTCGGAAGATCCAGTCGAGTATTACTCAAGTTCTCGAGATATCTTGTCTACACTTTCGTTCCTGTATTCTGAAAAATCCAATGACCATTATCATGCGAATCGGACAGCTGCCGATTCGTGTACTCGTACACTCGTCGAACGTATGTCATTACAATTTTATTGTTAAACACTGACAATGAATGAGAAATATAATGGTGTACCTGGATATTAGCGAATAACATTTCTGTACAGAATGGTGTTAAAACTGCCATCAGACAGTTAGCTGAACAATGCGCGTTCCAGGCGCGCGGATTAATAGCAACGATATAATTTAAGGCCATTTAAATTGAACGTTACCTCGCGATATAGTCACAGCGGTGTACAATTTTCTTAATAAAATTCAGTCAGACTCACGTCGTAGATACTCGTTTTCAGTCTCCTTTGCGGAAGCAACACGTCTTTAATAAATACGTCGCTTATACATACAGTTCAGTCTTTGTCTCTTTCCGTTTCTCGTTTCGCTCAAGGTAAGATTTTTTCCTACTGGTATCTGTCACAGAAATAATTAATTAACAGCAGAAAGTTCCTCCCACTCTTTCTCTCGCTTTTTCTAACCGCGGTCCGCCTCCACGCTTCTACTCGCTTATAACAGCGCTCAGTGGACTGGTGAACCCCATTTTGCTCATGCAACCCTTATTACCGTGTCGCAGCTCGGTTAGCGTGAACGGGTTAATGAAAAGCTCGAGCAAATATAGAATTTCTCGTAAAAACTACAAATTACTGCTGGGCCGAATGCATAGCCGCGTGCAACGTACTTTGGTCCGCTAGTTCTCTTTCCGCTTGTTATCCTCATTTTTTCTTCGTTCGTGAAATTATACAACAGTATAATACGCGAGAATAGAAAATAAACGTTCCCGAGGCGCGCTTCGAAGATCGTGTCGAGGATTTTATGACGGGGTAACCCGGGCAGAATCTACCGAAACACGCGGGATGAAAACTCGTTAGTCGAATATGTTCGTGTTTCACTGATTGTTTTTCTCTGTGTAGCTTAAAAGGTCGAAATGAACAAGCCCGTCAACTTTTTAATTTCCCAACCGTGTTACTTTTACTGCAAATGTTGCACAGGGGAAAATGGGTACATAAAAAATGGGAAACATACCATATTTCATGCAAAACCCAGTGGCGATTAAAATACTAAACACGCATATTATACTGTCACGTCTCCAGTTTTAATTAAATAACGCCGTAATCTATTTCTAATCTAATTTTCGGCCCATTTGCCTTGCAACATTTTTATTACCAACATTTGTTCGCCTGTACGTAGTTGATTAGATTATCTCACTGTATTACAAATAGTGTTTGAAGGACATGCGGAATTCTTGTCTGACTGACTGTCTTGTCTGAGCTTTGTAAGAGCCAGAATGCATGATACAGAATTCATGAGCATGGAGCGTCATTGTACCGGACTAAAAGCAACCTACACCGGGTTATCTCGTATTACTTATATTATTACACTCACGGCTCTGTGTTTGTCAGTTTAAAACCAGCGACTATTAGCAGGTATTATTTTAGCCATGATCCAACGTTGGCGAGAACAATGGCTACATCACTACGGGCTATGTCCCACGATATTAAATGAAGCGAAGTGATACATTTCGAGGGGATAGTCGAGCAAATAGGGATGATGCGGCGATGGCACAAGGGACACGGGCTAAGAGAGAGGGACAATGCGAGCCCACGGAAAGCGAAAGAGAGAGAGTGAGAGAGAACGTGGTCAGAAGCACAAGGGTTGAGAAGAGGGACGGGAAACGGCATGTATTACGTTACGCCCGTGGGCTGTGTAAATACCACAGCGCTGTAATCTAGAGTTAATGGTGCTCTCATGATACGAATGTCTATTAAAGCCCTAAAAACTTATCTACAAGAATTACCAACGATACTCTTTGTACAATCAACTTAATTATAATATGTATATTCATCTGGTACGCAACGCTACGTGTTTAAAGCGTAACACCACTGTGACTGGTAAAACAACTGTTCTTTATACTCTTAACAATAGAGTTCAGATACTCAGTGTTTCGATACCGATCGTCAAAGATGAAAGCTCATTTTGAATTTTATCATTTTTATACACTTACATGTATTGTTACACGAATCATCATTAAAACAGGTTTTTTCAAGACATGCACTTTGACTCTGACATTACTAATCGGGTTGATTAGAAATTTCGAGGACATCGTTATTATAACATAATCTATTGTATGTACTGTGCTACGTAGAATTGTTTTGATATTTAAATGTCAAACAATCAGTTTTTCTTCAAATGCTGAGAAGTTAGACAGTGGAGTAGCTCAAGTAAGTCAGAAAATAAAAAATTTTCACGTCTATCGAGAAGCGATCGCTTTTTAGATTAAACACTTAAACGCAATTAAGGCAAAGCGATACGAACTTTCACGCGTTCATTTCTAATTGAACGGCACACCGCATGAATGGTATCAAAATTGAATGTGATTTATCAGTCACGTTAAACGCGCAGCATTCGCATAATATATCAGCTGGGCAAGAGGCGAAAATAATAGTTTGGTGAATCGTAGGCGAT